TGGTGGCAGCTGTTGCGTCGGCGATGGTGATGCTGGGTCTTTGGTGTGTCTGTCTGTCTGTCTGTCTGTGTCTCTCTCTGTGTGTGTGTGTGTGTGTGGGTGTGTGTGTGTGTGCTGGTTGTGTGTTGTGTGTGTTGTGTGTGTGTGTGTGTGTGTTCGTTCAGTGAGCATTTCCACACTCTCGCCGTGTTTGCATGCCACTTGCTTCACTGGCTCTGCAGGGTGCCATCGAATCGAAGCAAGCACTGTTTTCAGCAACCTCAACGCACAAGCACACACAAAACGAATCCATCCACACTTCAGGACCGGCGAAGCTGCACTATCTGCACTATCTACACTGGCTGGAAAGTTTAACCAGTAGTTCTGATGCGTGGAGTTTCTAACACACCCCTGACAAACTGAATTTCACTGCCAGCGCTTCGTAACAAATTTCTGAAGCACTCCACGCCTCATACCCCCTGGCGACCACTGCTGTGACGTTTTCCTCGGCGCCCTGGCATATGACAGTAGGAAGGCGGGATAAGATGGGCTGTAAAGGTGTTGTTAGTGTGGGAGCACCGTTCCGGAGGCATGCATGGGGAAAGAAAAATCCTCGCAGAGGCTGCTCCCGGAAGCTTAGTAAGTCTATACTACACCCTTCCAATATGGAAGCCGCCACCGGGAGCCGTTTACCCGCTCGTGACTTCTGGCTCGAAACTCACATCGCGTCGGCAATTTGCTGCTACTTCTATGTGCTGGAGGTCTCGGACTCAAGGCCGAACGTAATGTCTTGCGCGTTTCACACATTTCCTGTATCTATGGGCCCCGGAAGGAGCCTGCAGACTCTCCCGGCAAGCCTGGGTACATGCCGAACAGCGACCCCTGAGATCCTGGCATCGTTACATTGGCAGCACATTTTATTTCCCATGTTGGGTCGCTCCTTCCTGGCCTTAGAGCAATCCGCTGGCAGCAGGACTTCAAAAGCCGAGTCGATCGCGTGGCGTCTCTAAGTGCGGGACCCGTCTTCACTTTGGCCGGTGTGTGGGAAATGGGCCCAGGACCAACGCGTTGGTTGCTTGAGCCCAGAACTACAGGGCTGCGGCTGCAGATCTCAATGTAGGGTGTCCAAATGACAGCAACGGCCGAAGGCCCAACCTTGCGTGCAAAGTTTCACAACCCGGTGGCAGATAGCCTCGTCCCGGGAGCCCCGGCGTCGGCGGTCGGACTCTCGTCGCAGCTCTGGCCGCCTCGGAATCTGAATGGCGGCTTGGGCTTCCGAGAGCTGTGGTAGGCTCTGATACTCTGAACTCGGGGACACCTCACGACGCCGAATCCCAAAGGTATCCTGTCTGCGTTACGTGGGTCAAGCGCACACAGACACATGCGACCTCTTTTGACCGAAAGACCGTGAGAAAAGGCCGCTTCCCTCCGCGTCAAAAAGGGCCCCTGCGCCATAGGCCCAGGAATCCCGGAATCCGCCTCGGAAAGTAGGACTCTCCAGGTGCGGAGCAACAGCCAAAAAGGGGGAGAGACGGGGAGAGGTGTGTCTGTCATGGATTGCACAGCAACAGCTGCTACCTCGGCATCCTCCGCCATGCGGTAGCGGTAGTTGACGGGAGTGTACATCCTCCGAGCCAGGTGCAAATACTGTAGGTTTCAATGGTTTCAAGATGTTTCAAAACTTCGGGACTAGCACTCGCTGATATGATATCGTTCAAGGGCTGATACTTGTATGCCACTTTGATTGGGTTAGAGACATCTACTTTGAATTTCGCCCCTCCACGATACAAATCGGATCCCGCCTTTCGACCGGCTTGGGCGGATTTGCAACCGCCTGACAGTGACATCAGTCGACCAAACACTTCCGAATTCAGCAAGCTGAAATATATAAGAACTAAGACGATTGCACGAGGCAAACCGCTCTCAAGCCGCGACGGTGCACCTCCATGCTGATGCCAGATGGCTTGTCGCCGATGCCGATTCCAAAGTTCCGAAACATCCCCTGCAATCTCTCGAACTGGATGAGAAGAGTGCAATCACCGGAGTTAGGTCCGGTACAGGAAAGCGGGCGTAAGCGTGTACCCTTAGGTGAGAGATGGTGTCGCGCAGTTCAGAAGCTGGTGCTTTGCTGGCAGACCTCTCATAGGGCGCGCCCCTTACTCGATTCGGCCTGTGCACGAATCGTTCAAGCAATGTCACATTTTTTGAGCCATGTTCGGCAGAGCCGCCAGTGATAAATGTGTCCCCTGAACTGATCGCCCGAAGCCTGCAGGCCTCCGACGGGAACCGAGCTTCTCTCTGTCGCGCTTGTGGCGCTTGGTGAACGGGAAGGGTTGAAGGCGCTTGTGCGCTTGTGTCAGAAAGTTCCTGTGATTTGTTGGGCCTTTGAGCCACACCCGAACCATCCCGAATCCTACAGTAGCCCTGCAGCACTTCAACGGCCAGGGGTTTTGAGTCGCTGCTGTTGGGCAAGACGGTCGGTTTTGGTGTTGTTGTGATGTGATATGTAAAGGGTCAGGAGTGTGAAACTTCTGAATTCTCCTCCGAGCCCGTAGATGCGGGATGCGTGCAGCCTGCAGACGTGGGCCTGAAGAATCAACGTTCTGACTGCCAGACTCTACGAAGGCCACGGCATTTTTTCTCAACGCACCACCCCGCTTTGTCTGAGGCCGAAGGGATCCACGGTACGGCCTGGCAAAGGCGTCTAAAGGCGCAAATGAGTCAAAACCAATGTATAGTACGACGGCCAACTTTGGAGGGGTCTCTGGACGGAGAGCCTCGTTGCGACGTCAGAAGTCTCGCTTCAATCGTTAGGGAAGGGCGAGATGCTACGGACACAGCAAGGCCTCACCTCTGCGCAAACCGCCTGGCCGGTGTCCACCTTCCAACACTCAGCGCCGTAGCTCTTCAGCCTTTTCTCAGAGGCTGTCCGCCCTGGCAACGGCAGGATCTTCTGGGGTCAAGCAGGGCTCAGAATACGTAACAAGAGTTGGAGCCCCGAGCTTTTGGACCTCCGCATCGCCAGAGAGCCTATTTCGGAACCTGGTTTGGAAACGGTATGTTTGTAGAGCTGGGAACCCTAACGGAGACTTCCGAGGGCAACGTCTTATGCCTGAGCCCAAAGAGGAAGCTCTCCTTTTGCTTTGCTTTGTCGCATCTATGCCTGGGCTGAGTCCCTGCGGTCACCGCAAGTGGCATTTGGACATCCTGGCCAAGCGGGACTGCATGTCGTGGTTGCAGGGCTCCGGTGTGAACTCGAAGTAGTAGTTGTCAAAGTGGTGGGGTACCGTGGCGAAGTCGAAATGGTTGTGAACTCCAAACTGATTGGCTTGCCCTGCTCTTGCCGGGCACCACATGGCATTGTGGGAGTGCGGGCAGATGTCCACAACCACAAACTTATATTCTTTGTGAAAGATCTGGGCTGACGCAGGTGTCCAAATCTTGAATCCTCGAGGCAGCTGCCTGACAAATCTCCCTTTGCCACATGATCCGCATCCCAGGCTGGCGGTGCGTCCTCCTCCGCCATTCCTTGGCTGGGCATAGGAGCAGATTCCAAACATGGGCCGGATGGGACCCCCCACAGCTCGCAGCCCAGGATCCGATTGCACCTGCAACATCCGTCTTGCATGGCCTGCGCTGAGGCCACTGCAAGATAGTCGGTTCCACGAACCTTGATGGGCACACATCACCAGAACAAGGTAATAGCGTTGGGCTTTCTGATGAGTTCTGCTGTTGCTGTTGCTGCTTTTTTTGCACTTGCTACGACCGCAAAACAGAAAACGGAAGCTGGACTTGCAGTCCAGTAGCGAGGGCTGCAGAATCCAGCCCGCAAGCTGTGTGAGGGTTGGTCCCATACCGCGTCGAGGTTGCCATAAAATGGTAGTGGCGCCTGGACTGCCAGCTTTGTGCGGTCGACATGTTATAGGTTTCGCCCAGACATGAACCAAAACAAAAGGCAGGAGGTTGTAATGACAAACGCGCACAGGCACGGATGCGGGGCCGGTGCATAGTCAGTTCGATTCTGTTCCAAGAGTCCTGTGAGGTTGTTCCCGAAGACTCTGGAGCGAAGATTCACTGCCTCCACATTGGCAAGCGTGGTAATGCTGAGCAGCAGCTGAACGTGACGGGCCATCATGGAAAAAACCGCAGGGTTTGCCGGTTCGATAGCGAGAGATTTGCTGCGGGATCAAAGCAAGCGTGCATGCCGGCGAAGTTGAGTCACACCGGAAGATTCTGTGAATCCCCACCCCTCGCGATCAACAGCTTCGAACCTGGAATCCATATGTCTCTGTGTGTGTGTGTGTGTGTGGGGGTGTGTGGG